GTGGCCTCAAACTAATTTGCCCCACTTAGTAAATTTGGCCCTTAATCATTAGATGATAGCCAGCCGGTTCACATAGTTCGGAAGGGGGAAAAAAAGGAACACATAAATTATTGTTGGCTCAAATGCTGTTGCTGAAGTAGATTTGTTGTTTTCATTGTCTTGGTTATCCACTTCATGCCTCAAAAGTCCCCAGCCCAGTTTCAGTACAATAAAATCACCCAAAGACCTTTCCAGTCCAACTTTTGAGAACAAATATTGCATTCAAAACAATTATGTATGAATTCTTTGAATAGAGCAGATGTGAAATGAGTAGCTGCAGGAGCCACATTCTTATTGTCCGAAATAAAGGTCGTCTGAAATGATCTAAGATTGGAATAATCCTTCAACCTGTTGGAGCGTGTGTCGATCTCATATGTGCAGCATGGGAATCCAAATGGATTACAGCAATCATGTTATAACTACAGAGAGTAATTGCTTACAGCTTACAGAGAGCGATCTAATGGAGTTAATGCAGTCTAAAGTATAAAGACTGAATTTCTCATAATATTCATAATTATAGGCTATTCTGTGGACCAAATAAGAGCTGATGGTAGATCTAGTGTGTTTACGATTTTTATTAGATATACAAACAAGCTCAAATCATTCAAAGAGTGGAAAATTCATTCATTTTTACAACAGGCAGTTAAGCCAAAGTCATGTTGATGTCAGACTGAAAATCTCACAAAGCTAAAATACACATTCGAAAATAGATCTGAAAATAAACCAATAATATAATTTTATAACCTGAAAATCCAAGAGTGTTTTTTTCCCTGTCATAACTGATCTTTTTAAGCCCAATACAGCCCATCATATTTCTTGTAAGTGTAAGTTTAAAAAGGAGGACAAGTTTAGTGTTTGTAAATTCCAAATCTGCCAAACAGATGAAGAAGCACACAGTATAAACTGTGAGCAGCATCCAAACTTCACTGTATATATTATAAAGATGGAAAACGCTGGTCTTCCCACTCCAGGTTAGGAATTATTTGCTGCCTCAGATGGAGGAGTTTAAGTTTTTCAGGACCATGTTACTGATGGATTGGTGCAGCATCTGCAGTGATGTGGACTGTTGATTTACTCTGCATTTCTATACAGTACACAACTTTAGCAACAGATGCTGGTTAGCAAAAATTACAGAAACAAGCAGCAGATATGAACTTCCAAACGGTATCTGGGTTCTACGTTAGATACAAAACACAGAGCTCAACCATTTGAGGGGAGCTGAAAGTGCAGCAGCTACTCTTCAACATCTAAAGAAGCAAGCTGAGGTGTTGCCCATTTCACTAGGGCACCTTCTGAATACTTCCTATACCAGGTATTTACATCAGATACAACTGTAAGGAGATTTCAGGCAGACCCAGGACACACTGGAGACATTATGTCTCCCAGCCAGTTTAGGAAAGCTTTGTCATACGCTGAGAAGAGTGATGGAGTGAAGCGGACCAGTTAGAAGCTTTCAGAGCCTCTTGCCCTGTGAAAGCTGGTTTAGGCTACAGCGCCCCCATGACCCTAAATTGGATAAGTGGTTAAAAGGATGGATGGACTTATTATCCTATTATCAACTTATAAATGACTCTCTGCAGCACTTTGAGCTTAACTCTTAATCTTGAATGTCTGAAATACCCATCCTCTCTCTGACACTATGCAGTAGCCATCTATGACCATAGTCAGTGTTGGGAAGGTTACTTTTAAAATGTATTCCATTACAGATTACAGAATACATGCCCCAAAATGTATTCTGTAACGTATTCCGTTACGTTACTCGATGAGAGTAACGTATTCTGAATACTTTGGATTATTTAATATATGCTGTTTACAACTACGTGAATGTACTATTGCTGTGATTTATTACTGTTACTGACGGTCCACGGCTCCGAACCGTAGTAAAGGGACCTCCGACTAATATGGTGGGTTCCATGTTGGGCTCGTAGCCGAAAAATAGCTTTACTTTGTTGTGTGGGTCAACTTTTCTTGCCAGAGACAGAGAGAGGCGTTGAAAGGCTGCTCCAACGGAACTTATTGTTTCGGAGGAAAACACGAACACAGCGTACAGTCGAGTCTTAATAGCTTACTTACAACTGGGCTCGTTAGGCACTCTTCTTGGCTGCAGTGGTTATTATTATATTTACATGCTTCCAGCTCCCGTTTCTGCTCGATGACAGCTCGTACTTTTCCTTTTTCTCCCTCCTCGCGCTCACAGACACATAACGGGTATGGCAGTCCATTCTCCCTGCAGCACGGACTACACTGCCCATGAGGCTACATTCTTTAGAGCTATACCTGTAGCATTCTGCCTATTAGCTTAGCACAACAACAACAACAACAAAAAGGCGCTCTCTCACCCAGGAAACACGCAGAGAGAGAGAGAGAGAGAGAGCGTCGCCCTGTAACCATGGCAACCATAACGCTTCCGCCTGAAACAACAGAACGTAGCTGTCAAACAAAACCCAAACAGTCCTGACCTGTGACAATATGAAACAGGAAAGTACCGCCATGTAATCCATTTATTTCAACAAAGTAACTGTATTCTAAATACCACCTTCTTAAACGGTAACTGTAACGGAATACAGTTACTCATATTTTGTATTTTAAATACGTAACGGCGGTACATGTATTCCGTTACTCCCCAACACTGACCATAGTATAAACTTAACACACAATAGTGTCAGCGGAAGGAATGTTACGCCACTCATTCAAGTGACTTCCTTACTGTCAACTGACTGCAAGTTTCCTCAGTCTTATAAACAGTACATTTGCATGATGACTAAAACTAGCACCACTGACTAAAAATGGGCCGTGAGGTCAGTTTCATGATTATTAATATATAAATTGTCAAAGGGGATTCTTTCACCATCTCATGGTGCTTTGGTTGCAGTCATTTCTCAACTCTGTGTGAATAGTGCTCATGGCCATTGATCAGTGGTCATGACATTTGGATGAGTGATGAAGCGTTTCTCCCACTGAAAACTATGTCACGATGAACAGAATCAACTTTCTGGCATTTACTTACCTGAATGATTGAGCATACAGCACGGAAATATACATGTGCATAGTTATAATACATAATATCGATTTTTTTTAAGTGTCTCCTGAAGTTCATGTGTCTAGTGATGGAAAAAATAGGCATACACTTATACTGTAAGAGTGTTACACACGTTCTTTTGTGCTGGCAGACTAATTTATATTTACAGCAGGTTGCTTAGGTTGGAGCTTTAGTTGCCCCAATACCCCGTTGGACCAAACACCATTTGCTTGCTCTGTCACATAATTTAGCTTGTTGATGTGATGCCACAAGTGCATACACACATACATACAAATATCCACGGGTGGGAAGACACTCAGAAAATCAAAGTGCCAAGCTCAACGCTAAAGCCAGCGAGAGCAGCAAGACTTTCACTTTGCATAATTATACTCACGGTGAGAACATTTTCGCACACACAGAAGCTATAAAGAGCACATGCAGAGGCATTAGTACATAGGCATCCATATAAAGTCTATGCAAAACACTACTTCTTGTTTTGATTTGACTGACAAAGCAACAATACACATAGAGACAGAAGGAAAGATATGGCTTTTCCTAAGAAAATTGATTTTTATGTGTCTTTCTTTCTCAGCTGCATTTGTCGTGCACAATATTCAGTTCAGTGTAGTTTTATGCCAGACATTGTAAGATAAACATCTCACAATATTATACTGTGAAAGCCAGCGATTTCTTTTTGTGACAGTGGGAGCAAAAAAGAAAAAAAAACTTTTAAGAAGAGGAAACCTCTAACACATTCAGACTGAAGAAGGGTAGCCATCTGCCTCTAACTGCTAGGTTGAGGGAAAAGCAATAGAGAAAAGAAAAGCATAGAGAAACAATTAAGAACAAACAATATAATAATAAACATTTGGCGGATTAGTGGAGCCTGAAACAACAGGTCAGGAATATGAAGCTCAGGAAATTAACTTTGGAAGAAAATGAAGACGAAGGGAAAAAAGAACACACACTACAAAAGGGAAAAGCCACCAAGTTAATGACATGCAATAGTAGCGTACAAATGCATGGGCAGTTATAGAGACAAGAGTAGATGGCAGGTGCTCAGGTAATCATTGGAGGTCCTCTAGCAGCCTGTAGCTTACAGCAGCATAACTAAAGGATGGTTCAAAGGCAAGAACCCTAACTTAAAACTTCCTCAATAAGGAAAGTTTCGAGCTTAATCCAAAAAATGGTGAGAGTCTGCCTTCATGCACGCTGTAGCTGAATGTTCTGCCTCTAGATGTACTTTTTGGTAACTCTTGGAACTACAACTAAGCCTTCATTCTGTGAGTGAAGTGCTCTTTTTGGGTGTTGCACTATGAGGTCATTAAGATATGATGGAGCCTGGACTTTGAGGCCAGGGAAAGGGAAGATTTTAAAGGATCCAGTGGAGATCAGTTTAAATGAGAGAAATGTTAGCGTGCCCTGTCAGTGTCATAAATATGCTTGATGTCATCTGTATAGCAATGCATTGGAAATGCATTGTTTTCTGTGGAGCAAAGTTTCAACCTGTGTAACTTCATGACTAACTTTAATTTGTGTTGCAAAGAGTCCTTAAGTAGTTCAGTTGGGATGGATTTTATTGTTGAAGTTGGCACATAGAATTTTGTGTCTGTGGGTCATTTTTTGTTATTTATTGTGTATATACAAGTAAGAAATCAGTGTTGCTTATGTGACTCAAAGCTATGGCGGTTTGTTCGCTTTCCAACCATTTGTGCTTATGTATGTATATAGTCTGTAAGTACGATGTTCTTTAGGCCTGCTGATGTTTCGAGGCCCGTCTGTGAGATTCTTTCACCCCTCTTCCTCTCCCTTCCTACCCCCTCCTTCGCCTATATTAGCTCCATAAATCCTGTTCTAGGCGGATTGTTATGGTCATTGTGTGTGCTGTGAGCGATGGTTATTATCTGCCTGCTCTGCTCACACAGCTTTATGATGCTCGTATGCTTTCTTCCTCTGCTCCCAGTTCTCTCTCTCTCTCTCTCTCACTATATCTTGTTCACCCTTACTCTCTCTGTAAATCTGAATGTCCATGTCCAGTCTCTCTCCTTCGCTTATAACTCCACAGCACTTCCTTTTTTTTATTTTTCTCATCTCTCTTCCACTCCACCAGTTCCACCTTCTGTCTTTTGCCGCTTGTTATCGCGTTTTCACTCTTAAGCTTCCACTGCTTCACAGATTTAAAAGAAAAATCATAAGTAACTAACAATAACCCACAGTTTGTTCAACCTGAAAGATTTGTCCTTCCTATTTGTTTAATGATATCAGAAAAATCAACCGTCTATACTTCCAGCAAAGGATGCTGACACTGAAACTGACACCTTACCAAGTGATAAAAAGCTGTCAAGAGGGAGTCAGACTTACCAGCGATAAAACTAATCATACTCTCATTTTACAAATCTAGCACATGTGACAAAATCAGTTTACAACAAGTTATGGTCCATACATGGTAAGTTTTCATGTAGGAAAATAAGGTTTTCACAATTAAACAAACAAAAAATAAATCAATAAAAATCCTTTTTTTTTCTTTTTACGAAGGGCCCAGAGCATTGTGTGAAATGCCTTCATTTCAAAGACGGTCCAAACTGTGTGGAAAAGTGTCCCGATGGCCTGCAAGGTGCCAACAGCTTCATCTTCAAGTATGCTGAAGCCAACAACGAATGCCACCCCTGCCATGCTAACTGCACCCAAGGGTAAGTGCAGACAGGAAAAGGACAAGTTCGAGATGCGGGGAGTAATCAGCTTAGAGTAACGTCGTCACAAGAAGTGGATTTGCACACCATTTGCCCCGCAAGCAGTTGCTACATCACTGTTTTATTTATTTTACCAAAGTGACTAGTTACTAACAGAATATTCATGCTATGTTTTCTCATGCTCATATTGCAAGCGAAATTTGACCTTCATATATTTAGCGGTTGAAAAGCACGTGCTCGCAAAGCTCTCGCCAGCCATAGTCTGCAATCATAAAATTATAGTCCGAACGTCTTGCAAGACATGTGAGATAAATAGAGAAGTGAAGCAGAAAATGAACCTGAAGAGAAAAAAGAATGAAAGTAAGGGTAGTTAATACCCTGCCACTCTCCACTGCTCACTAGCCACTGATCGCTCAATGTAATATTCAACAAGGTTTGGAAAGACATTATTTTGTATTTAATTCCACCGGGAGTTTATATCATTTCCCTGTGTGTTATTTCTCCTCTTGTGAGTGACAGCATCCAGCTCACTTAAGCATAACAATGTTGTCGTAAATGGAAAACACCAGGCTGACACTGTCACAGGTACAGCTTCATAAGCAGGGCCGCCTCTCAGAGCAGCAAAAAACCCAACAAGCTGATCGAGGGGGAGGGATATATATTCTGAGTGGGAGAGAGACAGAGCTGGAGGCTTCCAAACATTCAAAAGAGCTACTAAATTTCAGAGACAGTATATGTGACGTGTGATGCCACTGAAAGATTAACACAAGGCGACTGGTGAAACGTCCAACAGATTTGGTTAGTTTTCATTAGAAGTCAGTATAACTTTGTAATCTGTCATTCTAAAAGTAAACTCTTAGTGAGTTCTAAAGCAAGGCTAAAAATGGTAGCCAACAAGGCTTTTATTCACATTTGTGCCACACTTAAGGCAAAACGCGTTAATCATATAAAAGGTATCGTTGTTGTGTTGACATCTGCTCTACAATGAGCAAGCAAAAACATCTCTGACGGTCAACACTTTCTGGCTAATTTTGGCTGCCTGTGTGTTATGGTAACATTTTTATATATGCGATATTAATGTTTGAATAGGATAAAATACAGCATTTGTCCTGTATTTATTTACTAAGGTGCATTGGACCGAGACTTCAAGACTGCATCGGCTGGATGGACAGGTACAAACTTCCTTTTCTTGGATCCCTCTATTATGTGCTTACGTACAAACGCACTTAAACAGAAGTACACACGCGCACACACATAGAAGAACCGTACAGTAAGCAAAGTCTCTGATTAATGGATAGCTCTAAGGCCCCAAATCCCTGTGAGGTCCTTAATGCTTCTCTGTGCACGGTTGTGTGTGTGTGTGTGCCTGTTTGTTGATAAATTGATTGTGCTTTAGCATTTGTTCTGAAGCTGGGGGGAGAAAAGGCAAGAAAATGCTGCTCATAGTTTGCAGCAAATAGATTCAAGACTTCATAAGTGAAGCAGTTTGGAATCAAGTGGTGCTAAAAATTGTTGCGTGGCGTTTTGAGGGATGATTAAAAAAAGAGGCTGGTAGGCAAGAGGAACAGCCTGCAGTTCACTATTTTGCAATGGAGATTTCCAGCACATCAAAAAGAATACTATATACAAATTTCAGGTAAAAGGTAAATGTAATGAGATGACTATCAAAGTGGGTGTCAAAAAAAGTGAAACGAAAGAAGCTTTTACCGTCTTGCAGCACAGCGTACATTCACATAGAGATAATCACTGTAAAGGCATTTACTGTATATTCCGCCTGATACTGACCAATCAGTATTCAGTATCTTGAAGCTTCTACTGTAGCTCAAAAAAAACAAGTCATATCCTTCAAAAGACTAAATCTACAAGTGTGCTTCTGAAATAATATTTGGGAAACTGCCAGTAGGATGAATGGGGACTGCAGCAGATGGCTGAAAGTAACTATCAGCCGACCTTGTGAAGAGATCAGCTTTTATCAGATCTCTGATATCTCTGGCCAGGATGTAGCTGTAGCCACAGCTATCAGGTCTAGTTGCCTGCTCTGATGTGTCACACAAGTAGTAAATCTGTTAACTGTTAGATGTGTCACTTTTGAGCATAGCTGAAAGTGTCATGTCATTACACAAAGCCTTTTTCTTTTCTTTTCTTTTTTTTTTTTACACAAAATCTTCTAATGGCAGTATTTCAGAAATTGCTGATCTACTGGGATTTTCCACATAGCCATCTCTAGGGTTTATGGAGAATGTTCTGAAAAAGAAAAAAAAAATGCAGCAGTTCTCTGGGTGAAATGCCTTGTTGATGCCAGAAGTTAGAGGAAAATAACTATACTTTTTCAAACTGACAAAAAGGCAAGAGTAAGTCAAATAACCATTTGTTACCTCTGTGGTATGCAGAAGAGCCATTCCAAATGCACAGCACGTCAAACCTTGAAGCACATTGGCTAGAGCAGCAGAAGCCCTGACCAGGTGTCACTCCTGTCAGCTAAGAGCAGATAGGTGAGACTACATGTTGCATTGGCTCAATAAAATCATACAATAGAAGGAAAAAATCTTTCCCGGTTTGATGAATTTTGATTTCTGCGGCAATATTAAAAAAAAACTGAAAACATGGATCCATCCAGCCTTTTATTAACAGTTCTGGCTGGTGGTGGTGGTGTAATTTGATGGGGGATAAGGAGCCCACACTTCAGGGTCCTTAGTGCCAAATGAGCATCATTTAAACAACACAACCTATCTGAGTATTGTTTTCATGTCCATCCCTTTATGACCATAGAACATGCATCTTCCAATAGCTGCTTCACCAGAAAGCAGCAGACCATGCCACAAAGCTCACACCATCTCCGACTGGTTTCACACACAGCGGTGAGTTCTTAAAGGGCCTTGAAGTCACCAGATCTCAGTCCAGTACAGCACCTTTGTAGTGAAGTGGGATTTTTGCATACATGAACGTATAGCTGACGTCAAATCTGTGAGGAGTGTTTCCATCGTTTTGTCGAAATGTTTCAAATCTAGATCTAGTTCTGAGGGCAGGAGATTCAACCCAGTGCCACCAAATTTGAGTGTATAGAATGAATTGCACATTAGCTGTTTATCCCGATGCCAAATGACATTTGTCATTGTGAGAAAAGCCTCATGTAGCTACTGCCAGTGCCATGCTGACGGTGTCTTTCACCATCAGTTTTCTTTTCATTCTATAACAATAAGACGTGCACAAAATTAACCGTGTGGCTTTCATTTCACACAAATTAGCTTCATTCCTCTGCTTTGAAATGTATCCATAGTGAAACTGCAGTGCGTAAGTTAATGAAATCAAACATAATATTTACATTTACCACTCTCTCTTAAACTTTTCTGTTTAAGAACTTTATTGATATTTTGTGGAGAAAAACACAAAAAAACCATTGCTGTCTAGCTGAGAGTTAGATGAGAAGATCGATACCACTTTCATAACTGCCCATTAAATATGGAGGTAACACCAAGAGATAGATAACAGCATAAAGATGAGAAATGGGGAGAACAATTAGTCTAGGTTATTTTCCAAAATAGTCTACCAGCACCTCTAAAGCTCACTAATCATCTCGTTATACCATATCTCATTTGTTTAATCCATATAAAACCCAGATTGTAGAAGCAGTGCAGGGCTTCACAGGCATTATATGCTGGTGCATTTCACCCCCGGGTGCACTGAATTTACTAGCTGCCTAATCATTTCATTGTGGCAGCAAGAAACCAGTGTTGCTATCTTTGTATATACATATCACATGTAAATAATAAAGTAAGTGTGTTGCATCTGCAGATATTAGTAAGCCTCAAAAATAAGGTAAACATCACCTGGTTGTAGCTTCAGAGCAATTTTAAAATGGCCTCAATCTCTTCTTTCCGAGAAACAAACCTGTGTATGTTGGCAACGATCAAGCTGTTTCACCAAAGAATCGTGATGATGCCATGGAGTCACCAGGGCATTTTATAATTATCCAAAGTCGTTAGTGGACAATCTAAAGAACCACAGGTTTTATATATTTAGAGTATTTTTTTTCTCCTTCACTGTTGGTTCCAAGACACAGATTGGGGTCAAATTAAGACTAGGATAACATATAGTGTGATGCCACCACAACAGCTCCAGTCACAAATCATAGGATAAAGTTGATCAAGTTGACTCAAGTTAATTGTGATTCAGTGATAGTGCTAAGAGGATAAATAGACACCAGAAAAAGCCCCGATCACAGCATAGCCACAACACTCGGTCATTGCAGCAATCAAATGTTCAGGCTGTGCCATTCTTTTGGTGCACAGCAGTGCTTATGGCCTTATTACATCTTGTATTGAAACTTTCAGTCACCATAAGAAGAGTAACTCTTGCATACTGCACTAATGCCCAAACATCAGAGTCACTAAATGGGTACAACCATAATTTCTGACCCTAGTTATGTACTTGTGTCTTTTTGATAGCTCTAAATACAAATGTAACAATCTGTAATTTAGTCACTGTGCTATTGAAGCACTTATGAATAATGAAGTCTATGGGACTGAAACATTAAACCCTCCTTGAAAGTCACTTGCAATCTTTTTACGAAATCTGAATCAATTGTGCCTGCTCAATATTTTTAGAAATTCAGTGGAGCATGCTAGGATAATAATTGCATAACTATACAATAATGCGTTGCACCTTTTCTGCTTTTTTCCCTTTAATTTGACACCTGTCTCTATCTAAAGTAAGGTAATAGTGCCCGCGTGTCTTCATTGGTTAGACCCCCTTTCTTTTAACCATCACATGTATAGAGATTTCCCCTGTGCAGCCACAGACTGTGATGACAGAGAGATAAAGCATTCATTTCCCATGAACAGGGCTGAATGTGATATCATTTTATAGAGGTGTATCCTTGAAGTCCGTAATATACAACCCCGAATAACATCCTTATTTTGATTATGAACGGTTCTTCCGATAGATCAAATAAACCAGCCATGGCCGAGTATATCAGAAAGCCAACTCGGACAGTTTGAGGTGCATATCAGTAAAAATATTGAGATTCTTCATTTCAAGTGACAGCATCAGTGTGGTTCTGAGGATTCTCTTTGAAGATTATTTCCATGTTTTTGATCTCAGCCCCGATTTTAATGAGAGGGCATGGAGGGATATTTGTTACCACATGAAGCTTAGTGGGAAAATACACAAAAACCGAAGGTGAAGAGGTTTTTAAGGGATCGGCCACATGGATATATATTCTAGAAACATGTTATGTGTGTTAATCTTTGTGCTTGTATTAGCCCGATGTTTGCTTGATGTATTTTTAGTTTAGTTTGTGCTTGTGTGTGATCTTCTTTACTGATACCCAGTAACATTCTTCCTTTTCTGTAATTTCATTGCATGCCCTTTGTTCTTTATGTATTTTCTTCCCTTTCCTTCTCCAATGTCTTTTCTTCAGAACCCCTCTGATTGCAGCAGGCGTAATCGGAGGACTCTTCATGGTGGTGATCATGGTACTCAGTGTAGCAGTGTCTGTGCGACGGAAGAACATTAAGAAAAAGAGGGCCCTTCGCCGCTTCCTGGAGACAGAGGTAAACAGGAAAGTGGATTAAGTAAAAAAAAAAAGCTGATGTTCCAGCGAGAAAGAGCATGCTGTTTGTTGCACTGAAAGATAATCAGAAACTAAGGACATAGGTTAAGTTACCTTGGCCCAAATTATGCTAAATGTTTTGTGTCAACAGAGATCTTATAGTATACGCCTCTAAAATTGGATCCCATTAGCGCAAATAACTCTGCCATAGTTTTAAAGAACTAAAAGTAAAATTTATTACTTTAATCTTGCTCTGTTTCTCGTATTTGTTTCCCTCTAATATGCCATGGTACTGTTATGCCTGGAGAAGATTACATAATCAAATTACAGGCTACATTGCAATTGGATTTATCAGTAAATAAATACACCTGATTTTGTCCCCAAATCAACACGTTATCACAAACCATCCTTCCAGACTTTGAGGAGAGGTTACAGTAAAATGACCTATTCAGAAGAAAACAACAAATGTCAATAAATAAAGAAGTATGGATATATCTTTGTTCACCAGGAAGTGCAAAATAGACAAATGAAAGTTTATTGCTGTCTACATCACCCCTACTGCTACACCTTTCACTATAGTGAGCTCGTTGTATTTAATTTTGGAAATGTAGGCCATTATTTATTAAAATGTGTCGATTTTCCTTGTAAATGTATTCATTTCAAAGTTGATTGGAATTTTGCCTCTTATGTACCAGTGTTTGGTTCATTAGTTTGTTTCCTCCTCTCAGACTCATTAATTCACAATCACAGAGCAAATGGATGAAAATGGTCTTTTGTGGAATCACAAGCTATTTGTTTTGCTTTTGAAACGTATTACACATTGTTCATTATTTTAAAAAATGTAATGCACTATGTTACTTAATTAGTCTCCACAGAAAATAATTTGTTACATTACTTTTGGAATACTTTTAATATGGCCTAAGATAAATTGTCACATAATTACCATTTAAGACTATAAACCTATCTAACAAATGTCTCCATCATAATGAACACACATGTACA